CTGCGATACCTCGTAACCGAATCAGTGGACCTACTTCCAACGTTATATACGCATAGTTATCTGGAAGGATCAAACCTTGTCTTCAATCATTTCCAGGCGCATGACTGATTGACTGTGCCTGCTCGACTGTCATGGACGTACTGTCAGCGGCTGTAGTCGTAATGATGTTTGAGCGAAAATGTCCGCGACATTCTCTTTTTTAGGACACACGACTCGACTCGTGTTGAAGTCCAAACCCTTGCGAACAGCGCTGGTAGATGGCGCATCTTCAGGACACTGCCCTCTCTATTGGGGAACATTTCTTACCATCCAAATGCTACAAACCAGGCCATTGTTCGAACTAGGGCGGTTTAACGAGATTCCCAAAGCCAAATTAAAGGGCTGCTGAAATGTCCGAAGCACAATCTGTTTTTTTTTCGCACTAACGGTTAGAAGCTGTCGCTTTTGTTCTTTCGTTTGACCTGACATCGGAGTCCACAGTTTTCACATCTTTGATGTAACTCGTCTGAACCCTAATGCGCTAGTCCATTTGACCTCGACGAGGACATGACAGAGAGAGTGACGTTCGCGCAGTGGTGGCAGATGTTTTGCCTGCCGACAAGCTACCTGTCGGTCCTCTATTGGTAGCTGACCGTATATCCGCCAGTTATCGAATTCACTCCCTCTACTCTTACATTTCAATGACGACGCATACTAACATGAAACCCCTTTTGTGGCTTTGGGACGTCAGACGGCTGTAACCTGTTCGGACAGTATGATATATTTACAATATTGGGAGGCCGGGCCATTCTTTTCATTCCCCCTCGGAACTAGACACGCATGAAATTCTTGATTGTTAATTATTCACGCATTTCTCATTAGCGAACTGGGACAGAAACGCCACAAGACATGACTTAGAAGGAGGCGTAGGGTATGGGTACAGGGATAGAGTTACCCCGTCAGTTGACAGTCTTCCAAGACACGAGTTTTACTCCCAACCACATGGACGAATAGGCACATTCGATGACCGAATGTCCCTGGGTAGTGTGGGCAAATGTGGCGTCTGTGACGGATGCATATGGGGGCTCCTGGCACGGGGACGCCGGTCTCAGTGCGATGGGCTCGTAAGTGCCCGACCAGGCCGATGCGTGATCCAAATGAGCGGTTGTAAGTAAAGACAGCGTGGGACCGTAGTTAGTGAGGTAGCGTTGTGCCGGCGCTGGTGGTGGTAAAGGAAGAGTTTATAGGACTGGCGATAAAAGCGTTCCCAGATGTATGAAGTTATGACTTTTCGGTTAATTCCACTGACATGGATACGCATCTGGCCAATTAGACCCATGCGATAGTTAAAGGCCCTGAGACACTGTAAACTGCTGAGGCATGCGTGAAGAGCGTGTGCGTGTAGGTGCTACAGGTACTGGCTCATCGGTCTCTGTGCGATGGATTCGCCAGTGGCCGATCCGACCTACGCATGATGAGCAGGGACAGTTGCAATAGTAACAAGCTGGAAATGCGTTCACATAGTTCGTGGTAAGGATAGTAGCGGCAGTGTTTTTCCGGTATTTAGAAGTGTCCTCGTTGATGTTGTTAGTGGTGGTGGTGGTGGTGGTGGTAGTAGTAGTAGTAGTAGTAGTAGTAGTAGTAGTAGTAGTAGTAGTAGTAGTAGTAGTAGTAGTAGTAGTAGTAGTAGTAGTAGTAGTAGTAGTAGTAGTAGTAGTAGTAGTAGTAGTAGTAGTAGTAGTAGTAGTAGTAGTAGTAGTAGTAGTATTTAATGAGCACACAGTCATCAGCGAACAATAGGTTGTGGGAAGTGACCTTGTTTACCATCGAAGATGCTTCCGCACGGTAAGCGCCATTCAGCAACATGGACAGCATGAGACTGAGTATGGTGGGGAGTAGTACGTAGCCCTGCCTCACCCCATGGGCCACTGCGAATGCTTCGAAGATTGCCCCATTGTGAACGACTCTAACTATCACTCTGTCTTTCCTAGCATTTGAATAAATCGTTCTAGATATTCGAGTTTCAGCATGATTTTCCAGAGTCCATCGCAATTTATTGTGTATAAGGCTTTCATCAAACGCATGAAGATGGTTGGTCCTCTTTTCCTGGCACTTTTCCTGCAGTTGGTGTGCGGTGAAGATGATTTCTGTGGTTCCATGGTGTTCTCGGCATCCACACTGTGTTTCTGGGAGAAGTCCCTGCCACATCTGTTCGTCCAGGAGATTGAGCAGAACTTGAGCTAAGACTTTGTCCATAATACTGAGAAGGCAGATGCATATGTGCTTACCACACAGTTTCCTGTTCCTTTTGCATTTGCGGATGTACACCGTGGCGGCATCCTTTGTCTTGGGGGCTGTGTCAATGGCGCAACATCTCCTAGGACAGCGGCGGGAACTTTTGCAAAGAATGTGCCTCGCCGTGCTAATAGACTTCGGCTGAAATTGCGTCTGTTACCACTGGACAACTCTTTCATCGCACCGATTGTCTCAAGCAAAGAAGGCAAAAAATCGAGGTCGTCGTTGGTGTCCAAATGAGTGAGTCAGTTGACGGCTTCTTCGCATGTTGTCGACAGGTGGTAGAAGACGCCCTGGAGGTGCACAGCCCAGTGCCCTAGGACCTGTGCCTTCTACTTCGGCTGGGTTGCATCATCCTGTCTCAACAATGTTGCAATTCGCTTGGCCGGTGTACCGTAGACTGTTTTGATGCTAGCGAAGAAAATCTTCATCTCACGACCGTCAGCAATTCTCTAGATCTTCTCGGTTCTGTGAGTCAGTTACTCGTTCTTCATCTCCCTACGCCTCTGTTTCACTAGGCGTCGGTATCGGAAGTATACGGTTTTATTGACGTTGCTGCTGTTGATGATGGTGTGGGTCGATTGTGGCCTGTGCTCCTTGAAGAAGAGTGTGCGGATTTCTACGTCAAAGTCTTCAACCCAATCCGGGTGCTGACGACGTGCGCAGCCTAGGACTTCCACTGCGGTGGCCTGGACGATGTTCTGCAGCTCCCTCTACTGTGTTTCGACACTTGTGTGTGCCTCTAGGCTTTCCCTTTAACGCCAGGTTAGAGTTCATGCAACTGCCGAAATCCAGTCGACGTATCGCAGAAGCCTATGGCGAGAGTGAGATCCTGGCTACCACGACCTTCAGGCCCCTCCCCGAATGAAAAGAGAAGGTAGATGCCAGTGGGGAGGATGATGTATCTCGTAGAGAATAACTGGAGAAGCGGCTGGGGAGTTGGCAGCCGGACGAGGGCACGTTCGGCGCTAGGTGAGCGGCCTCCCAGTGTCCTTCGGGGAATGCGTCAAAGCGCCCTAAGATAGGCCACGTCTGACTCGTTCTTGAATTTGATTGGTCGGTTCGGAAGCCGAATGGGCGAATGCTAGACACCCCTGGTGGGCACATAAGGACACGCGCGATAGGCGCAGCATTGAGACAGGGGTTCTGAGTAGGGCCACTACAGGCGTTCAACCAGACCAAGCAGCACTTAGCTTACCTGATATTAGCTTATGTTGCGGTGGCCTGCGCGGTTGCAGTTGGAGCCTCATCTCGGATGCGGAAAGGCGGTGATCCATCCGACATTGGCCATTACGATTCACCCTAGTCACAAGCACGTCCCGCTGGTTACGCTTCCAAACCAGGACGTAATCTGGTAGATGCCAATGACGCAAACGGGGGAATCCACGTCGCCTTCTACCTCGTCGGAGGACAGAAGAAGGTCAGGAGAAGATGCAATCACTGGAACAAGAACTTTATTGACCTGACGTTTCGGATTCTCACCCAACCCAGCATCAGAGACAGTCGCAGAAAAGGTTACTATGAGCACAAGGTACGCAGTATTTATAGGACGCGGCTACCGGCTATCATATGCGGAGAATAAGTAACAGCGCTGGC